TGCTTGGCATTACTGTGTGTGAGGGAGTAAGGAAAGACGGAAATGACATTTTAATCTCCCGTAGTTACAAGCACAGTGAAGCACAATAATCCCTCAAAACAAAAAGCCGCTGAAAAATTAAGCACGTGTGTGTGTGTGTGTGTGTGTGTGTGTGTGCGTGTGTGCGTGTGTGCGTGTATGTGTGTGTGTGTCTCACCCAGTAAAGAGGATGTGGCCAGCTCTGCAATGTCATAGCGACTGGTTTTATCTGATACGCTGCCATTGGAGGGATTCTGGTCATCCTGCACAGTATAATGGCATAAAAAAAGGGATTTATATTCATTACTTCTCAGGACTGAGCTTCCTTTTAGGTTGCCATCAATGCATTTATGACATCTGACCTAATTCAGGGGCAGGGAACTGCAAAAAAACAGTAGATGCAAACATATGCATGCAACAGAACATTTGCATACACCCTCTTCTAGCAACTGCATCCAGTCACGTTGAGCCTCAACCCACACTATTCCCACTTTTTTTCTTCCTGGCAAAATGGTGATAATGACAATAACAGTCCTTCAGTAATCACACTCAGCCTGAATAAGTTGCAGACAAAAGGTATTATAAGCGTGTCTGCTGTTTACACCCAAGAAGCTGCAATCAATACAGACTTGGGAGGTACTTTTCAAACAGTGTTCTCTCAGTTTTAGTATTTTTGAACTGAGAGTAAGCTGACGGTGTAAACTGTTCACATTAGAGCATAGATAAAGGTTCCACTCCAGACTGCTGGAAACCAGTTCAAATCCACTTGTACAGATATTACGGTTTTTCATGTATAACAATAAATGGCATTCACATTTTGTGCATCACAGAAAGGCGATTTACTGATTTCCTATCGTTTGTCAGCATTCGAAAAAATATTTCAGTTTTCTACAATATGATTTTTTTCCCTTTGGTACAGACAGGCTGCATGTTTTTGGGATGTGTTCAATTTCAGTTTTGTACAATCTACGCGAGTTGATAGCTTAATGTTACTGCTGGAGGTCCAATCTATTTTTCCCCATTACATCCAAATGTAGATGCTCTTTTGTTTTACAAAAGCAAGTGAAATCTTCGTCTCTTCAAATCAGGGTCCCCAGTTTTCACCTTGATAGACAATAGCAGTCATTTATCCTCAGAAAATAACCTACCTGGAGCAGCACGCATTTTGTTTTACCATTGTAGAAGAAATTAGAAATCGAGGAATTACCATGACTGAATATTTGACCAGTTTGACTGGGTAGGCTTTCAACAACACTTTTACCACGTGAAATAAAAGTTTAGGGTAAGTTACTGTAGTTGCAGTGTTTCAGTGTATGAGCTGTAACTCTAGTTTTTGAGAAATACACCACTGTTGTTCCCTTTGTAGAGGCAAATCAAAACCTCACAAAACCAACATGTTTGCTTGTAAATTGATTTATTTCAGATTTCCATAACAGTAATTAAAAAGTTAATATAGATTCCTTTACAGTTTTTCTCAGTCGCTTTGGTGCATTTCTCACAACAGAATTAAACATTGCACAACAGTTAGTTCAACC